AGTGTAAAATGTTAGTTACAAAAGCTGAGCACTGAGGTAATACAGCTACCTCCTTCGTCAGTTTTTAGGAGAGGCCTGTTTTATGGTTGCTTTTAGAACATGCTGCACCTATTACAATGGGAGATGCAAGATAATTGAAGTGACTCAACAAAAGCAAGTTCTTGACCCAAAAAATAATCTTACACAGCTCTCAATGTCAATGAAGGTGAAGTTTTACTGGTCCCCTGAAGGAAGTCCCACATTCAAGAACACTTGTCCCAGCATTCACATTTATGGGGGGGAGGGAGGGGAAATCAACAGAATTGCCACTACCTTTGTAGGCAGAGGCAGTCCAAGACCTAGGACAGCACTCTGACATAGGTAAGCCTTGAGCACGTTTAACAAACTCAGTTACCAATCACTTCACTGTCCAGCCCAGACTCTTCCTTTGTGCATTAGCTAATGCTCCCAAGTGATTTTATTTTTAAACGGCTGCAGGCAAGAAACATTGTAAAAGGAAGTCAGTCCTGTAGGTGGGAAATGCACTTTAAAGTAATTCCTTTCTTTAGCTCAACGTTTACAACTGGAATAAGACGTTAGTCCATATGATTTCTTACGCTACTGTGTTATACCTTAGCAAGAAAATGATTTGTTCATTTGAGTTTCTCCTGTAAACTGTTTACTGAAACGTTAAGTAACTAAATACAAAAAGAAAAAGATGAAGGTTTTGGAAACCACAGAAACTGCATACAGAAAGGAACACTAAAAAAGATTATTAAATATGCAATGTTCATTATTCAAAAGCTAAGAATTTCCAACATTAAAATTGCCTGTGCAACTTTATGTTTGTTCTCCAGCACACACGAATTATTATAATCCTTAATGACATGATAACGTTACTTCTTCAGCAAGACCCCTGCTTTAAATAGCACACAGCATGAATAATACTTAATGAACAAGCTAGTCAATACTGTTTTCTCCTCATTGCTCAAGGTATGGCCCCAAGCCTAATGAACATTATTCAAACCCTGTTTGGAAGATGGAATTATTTACCTTACAGGCTTATTTACCTGGTGTTCATCATTTTACCATGTTTCACAAATGTTAATTTCATCTTCGTGAAACCCTGTCCAGTGAGGAGGTGATATTAACTCTATTTTAAAAGATGAGGAATTGAGCACTGGAAGTTAAGTTTAAGAAGTAGAGGTGCACTGATAAAGATTTTCTTGGCTGATACTAATAGCTGATTATTAAAGCAGCCATATCAGCTGATACCAATCCGATAGCCGATTTACAGGAATGCAGCCCAGCAACTTGGAGAGCAGCACCCTGCCGGTAAGTCTGTAGGGGGTAAGGGATGCAGAGGCGGCAGATCAAGGCTCCCACAGTGAGGCAAGAAGTGGGGCTAGGGCAGAGGCAGGCACTCCCCAGCTGGGGCAGTGGATGCAATCTGGGTGCCAGGAGCAGGATAGAGCTGCAGGCAGTGCAGGAGCTGGGGAGGAAGGCAGCTCCCCACTGCTGTGCACACCCCCAAGGCAGGCACGGAGGACACGTGTCCTCTCCAGATGTGTGTGCAGGGTGAGGGTGAGGGTGGGCTGCCCACTGTGGGCTTGGGGCCAGGGGCTGCGCCTGCCTCTTCTTGGCAGGGGACTGGGCCAGGGCTGCGCTCGGGGCAGGCAGGCTCAGCTGCAGCAAAGCGGAGTGCCCAGAGCAAGGGAGACACTGGGGGAAAAGTTGGGTTGCAGGGCTATAGCCACCGCAAAATTCCCTGTAGCACCCCCCCACCCTCCCCCAGAAGCCATCCAGCTCCTGGCCTCGAGTCCACAGCAGGCAGTCCACCCTCACCCTGTGCACGTGCCCCCCAGGCCTCCCTCAGGGGTCCATGCAGTGATGGGGAGCCACTCCCCCTTCCCACTGCAACCCCTGGATGAGCTGCCTGCAGCTCTGTCACATGTCCTGCTCTGGGGCCCCATTCACTGCCCTGGCTGGGCAGCACTTGCCCCTGCTCCACTCCCTCCATCACCATGGGGGCCTTGATCTGTGCCCCCCCCACACCCCAGCCCCTCACAACAGACTTACCAGCCGGACACTGTGCTCCACACTGCTGGGTTGTGCTCCTGGCCACCTGCATGCTGCATTGTGGCTGTTCGCATGCACAGGGCTTTTATCGGCAACATTACTGGCCACATCAGCCAAGAAAAGTTGATTGCCAATAATGTTAATTTTCCTGCTATCAGTGCCAATCCGATATGCGACTGATATATCAGTGCACCTCTAATAAGAAGTATCCACTAATCTGGAGTGCCCAATTCATACCATTTGATATATTCAAAGTACAGCCCTGGGTGTTGAACACATAGCATTACTGAAAGTAAAGACTTCAGGGTTGTAGGGTCAAACACAGAAAATGAGATACATGATATTAATAAACATCTACAAGAAGTCTGATGTAAATTACATGCTTCTAACCACATAAGCAATCTGTGGCAAAGGCAGGAACAGAATCCAATATGCCAACACAGCATTCAACTGCCTTAAACATAAAGATATCCTTTCTCTTATGAGGGAAGGCAGGTGCCTGCCAGCAGTGGGGGGAGGTGGTGTGGGGGAGGGCATGTGAGTTAGGCACCAGCAGGGCCAGGGGGGTGTGGGTCAGAACAAGCCAGTGATCCTTGCAAATGGGTCTCAGTATGAAAAAAGGTTAAGAACCACTGATCTAGAGCACTGTCCAGTTTTGAGCCCCCCACTTCAAGTAGTATGTGCATATATTAGAAAGCCTAGGGGAGAGCAACAATGATTAGAGGCCTGGGAAACATGAAGACAGGCTAATGACAACAGGTGTATTTGGTCTGGAGAAGAGAAGACTGACCAGGGACTTGACAGCAGTCTTCAGCTACCTGAAGGGTTATTATGAAGATGATGGAAATAGACTATTCTCAGTGACTATAAGGGAAAAGACTAGAAGCAATGGCTTCAAACTGCAGCAGAGGAAATTTAGATGGTAGATTTGGAAGACCTTCCTCATTATGGGGGTGGTTAACTATTGGCACAGGCTACCTAGAGCATAATGGAACCTCTACGCCTGAAAATGTTTAAGATCAAGTTAGGCAGAGGCTTGGCTGGGATGGCTTAGCCAGTAATGATCCTGTCAAGCCAGGAGCTAGACTAGATTACCTCCCGACTCCCCCTCTCTCCCATCTCCTCATCTGATATCAGTGTTACCTTTTCTCTCCTCCTCACCCACACAGACACTTGCCTCCTATTCTCCCTCACCACATTTACTTTGTTTCCTAGTATCAGACCTCCCCACTACCAGCCCTAGTCTCCTCAAGCTCCCACACCTGCTACCATCCAACTCCTTAACCTAAATTAATATTTTCCCCTTTCACAGTCCAGCTTTTGTCCCTTCTACATTACAGCCATCCAGACAGTTTATTCTGCCTTGCTGCCTGGATACCTGGAAGAACGGAAAGCGAGTCATAAGCAAATCCCTTGACCAGGGTTGGAACATGCTTATTCTCCATGGGGAGAGCACACAGACAGTGACATATAGAAAGTGTGAAAGAGTAAGCAAAGAATCTTCAGATATATTCTTTTGCTTAAAAAAAGTAATCAAAGTCTGAGTACACACTAACTGCACTTCCCAAAGCTTGTCATTTTGTCAGATTTGGAAGTATTTCCTTAGGGACAGTAAGAGATACCTAGCACAAAGGACATCCACCTCACCAAATTTTGAATCTGCTCCAAAGCACAGGGATACTTCCACTGTCCAAAGCACCTCAAAATATACTATTGGTAAAATAAATTTTTCTTCAACTTGATCTTGCAGTTTTGACTTAACTCTTCCTATACTGATATATGAAAGATACTTCTCCACTGGAAGCATGGTAAAACATTCGTCCAAGTGGTTAGTAAACTCAGTTTTAAGCAACTTAAATCAGTGTAACAGGTAGGGCAAAGTAAACGTAAGAGGTAGTGCTACCAGCTAACAGAATCTCAACCTAACACTTAGAGTGTTCTAAGTCTGATAGACACTCAAAGCTACGATGACTTCCCCAGAAACCGCACAAGTTTAGAAACCAGACAACTACCACAGTAAACTAAAGCTAACACTTAAACTTTTTGAAAATTACACACTCCTTCGAAGCATAGAAGGCCAGCCCATTTACACAGGCCTGCATCAACAGGATAACAGAAGAGCATTGTCACTCTTGGGCAAAGAAAGCATCCTGCAGGGCAACATATCCTGTTGGCTCTCAAACAGCCTTGCAGACACCTCCCACAGAACAATTTTCAAATGCTAAAATTAAGTCTCTTTGAAGAAAGTTACCCAATTTACTCTTTGTAACCTTGCATCGCAACACCTCTGGTCTCCCTCCTCACGCGTAAGAGGGGCCTTACATACTTATCCTTACGCCTGTGTACACCATGTAGCTACAAACTCCACCTCCAGTTTGCCCAGCAGTCAGAGGCTTCCTCTTCCCTTCACTGAACCGTAAGAAAGAGAGTTACAAAGGTTTGTTGGGAGCCGGCCACGCAACAGGCTACCGCAGCCTCTGCAGGCAGCCAGCAGCTGCCCCAACAGGCTATCGTCTAACCCGGGGGAGTAACCGCTCACGGACTTGCTACACCAGGCGCCTGCGACCAGCACAGCAATTGGTCTTCATCGGAAAGGAAGAGGCAGACCCAGAACAGCAGGCGCGGAGGCCAAACTCCGACACCAGCCCTTGGACCCTGTCCAGGCGGGCCGGGCCCTCAGGCGGCGGCACCCCCGAGCGCACCCCGGCCACGGGCAGCCCCGCGCTTCCTCCGCCCCGCGCAGGCGATGAACAGGGGGAAACTCAGGCACCGCCTGAG